ATCTAGGCCTGAAACGTCAGCCTTTCTGCTCCTATGATGCTGCTTGGCCTGCTGTGTTCATCCAGCTCTACACCTTGTTATCTCAGATTCTCCAGCATCTGCAGTTCCTACTATCTGTGACGAATTGAAGGGACTGTTTAATATATCTCTCTACTTTAGTGAGTAGATCTGCCTAGTGGTAGAGTAAAGACTGGCCCTACTCCAAGATAAAGAAGAGGCTTAACTCAAGTACACTGGCTGAGAGGGACAGATTTTTAATCCGTAAAGGAATCGACGGTTATGGGGAAAAGGAAGGAAAGTGGAGTTGAGGATTATCAAATTATCCGCAATCTGATTGACTGAATCCAAGGCAGACTTATTGGGCTGATTAGTCTATTTCTGCTCCTATGTCTTATGATCTTGTGGTGTGTAGATAATGACGTTATGATCAAAATTGAATTTCACACGCAATTAATCTTTAGATCAGACTTTGTAATGTGATGGTAACTGATCAGTAAAGAAAATTCGTGAGATTGTTTGGATACTGGTAAGCCATAGCACTACAGTTCCGTTGTGATTTCAGAGCTTGGCATAATGTAGCTTGTCTGATTTCTGCAATGATCTTGTTAACTGGAATTACCCAGGGCTAACTTAATAAAGTGCTTTTCACTAGTGTCATCTCAACTGGTATATAACAAATGCGTTTTTGCAAATAAACACTGTTTCCTGTAGCCTGAGCTGACTGCTATATTGCTGGACTTTACCAACCATTAGGCATGAATAGCAACTGAAAGAACAGTGTGTTTATGCATGCATGATCGATGTAAAGTCTAAAACGTGATCTAAATAGGAGAGATGAGGAATGAAAATTCCACTGCAGCTCACAAACCTCAGGATGATGGAACTGCACCTTCACAAACTGGTTTAATAGTGTGTAGAGAGGCCACTATGTGTTCTGTGGTTCTCTTGCAACACCATTTCATGCTCTGAGTGAATGGTTTTTAACATTGTTCTTTCGTTTGCCCCTTTGCAGAGACAATGGTCAAGATACAGAAACAGATTCAAGTGAACTCTGCAGCATTTACTAACCAACGGTCAAATGTTTATGCACTTAAACTTTTCAAATTTGTGTATAGTGTATATTACTTTAAAATGTGAATGTAACTCATCATCCAAGCAAGACTAAAGTGCATTCAAGCTAACTACCTACTGATATAGAACACGTTTACAGTCTACTCCTGCTGAGTACAGGATTTGTACAGTGTACATATGTATGTACTAATTTAGAAAGAAAAACTGTACAGATAGCTTAGTATATTTTATATACACATTCTCATGTACTGTATATATTTGAACTAAAAGATCGGTTGTCAATAAAAGATTAAATCACTGGCATAGCTCCAATTATTTAAGGTGTCTTTATCATTCTAAAGACTGCAGTTTCTTGTGGTTCTTTGGGACACCGTTTAATACAGAATTGTTTTTTACATTTTTAAGTGTTGGTTGCAGATCTGAGCTGAGAGCACTGGGGGCCATGGTTCAGTGGCATCAGGGTTTTTAAACACAGGTGAGGGTGGGAAAGTGAAGTTGATGTAGAAGTTCAGTAAAGATCGTATTGAATGGTGGGGCAGTCAAACATGTGAATTAGGAGCAGGAGTAGGCCATTCAGCCCCTTATGCCTGTTCTGCCATTCAACAGGGTCATGGCTGATCTCTTTGTGTATTGAATTCCATCTACCCCAATAATCTTTGATTTATCCTATCGAGAAGAATCTTTCTCCCTTCAAACTCAGCGATCCTGCTTCCACTGAGTTCCAAAATCTCACAACCCGCTGAGGGGAGATTATTCATCCAGTTTGCTTCCACAGTCGAAAGATGTGCAGGTTAGGTGGGTTGGCCATGTTAGGGGAGGGGCTATGGGTTTGGGGTGGGGAGGGAGGGGGGATGCTCTTCAGAGGGGCTGTGAAGACTCAGTGAGCTAAATGGCTTCTATCTGCGCTGTAGAGACTCTACAATTTGTGTTTACACTGATTTCAGCCAACTTGCTGATCTATTCATGCTAATATGTTGCCTCCTGGACTGAGCTTTTATGTTCTGGAATAATCTTTGATGTGGTATTTGATCGAACGCCTTAGGGAAATTCAAGTACAGCACATCAATTTGCTCCCCTTTATTCACTGCACATGTTCTTCAAAGAAGTCCAATAAATCGGTTAAATACAATTTCCCCTTTACAAAGCCATGTTGACTGTGAACAGGCTCCTGGGTGAATATACAGCTTGCCCTCTACTCCAATTTCTTTCGTGAGCAAGCTCTTCAGTTTTAACATCTTTGTGGAAAGTGCATTTTTTTTCTGGCTGAGTAGAGGAAGGGGTCAAGAATTAGGATGGTGATGAGAAGCTGGATATTTACAGAAATGAGCATGAGATGAAGGGAGAGGGAAGCGAAATGCAAAGAAGATGAGAATGTCTTGAGATGGAAGTTGTAAATTGAGGAAAAGCTTGCTGCTAGTAGATGTGAAGAGTGAATGGAAACAGTGAAGACATCAGGTGAGTGCCTTCAGAGTGAACACTGGAAATGGCATCAAATCACCTCACGCTTGGAGGGGAGGGAGTGGATGGAATGATAGTAGTAGGTCAGTGCAGTGGAAAAGAGACACTGAGCAGCTGGGATGCCAGCTGTGTTGGGAGAAGGAAAGTATCCTGACCTGTACTAATCTCATGGAGCCATTCAATCAGGAACTCACCATGACAACATTGACAGGAGCTAGTGTCTTCACAAGATGATGAGGAAGGAAAATTGGCAGAATGGAATAGGAAGCACAACGAAAGGTCAACATTCAGATAATAGAGACAGGGACTCTTGATTGTAACCAGGTGTATTTTCATCCCATGGTGCTCTCCAGAAAAGGGAGAAGAGAAAGGTGTGTAAATCGAGGGGAGGCAATGGCCTAGTGGTATTATTGCTGGACTGTTAATCCAGAGACCCAGATATTGTTCTGGGGACTCAGGTTCAAATTCCATCATGGCAAAGGGTGGAATTTGAATTCAATAAATATCTGGAATTAAGAGTCTAATGATGACTGTGAATTGATTGTTGGGAAACACCCATCTAATTCACAAATGCACTTTAGGGAAGGAAATCTGCCATCCTTACCTGGACTGGTCTCCATATTCTCTACAACAATGTGGTTGACTCTTACCTGCCCTCTGGGCACTTGGGGATGAACAATAACCGCTGGCCTAGTCAGCAACATCCTTGTTCCAAGTATGAATAAAAAGAAAAGAAGCTAGAGTTTGAGCACTGTGGGCCATTATGCAACCCAAATTCCTATAAGTTGAAGGCCTGTTGTTTGCTTGTGAGAAAGGACAAGACAATGTAGACATAAATTCATCCTCAAGGGGCTTGTAGCAAATATTCAACAACAACAATTGTAAAACTATGATCCGCTCATCTCTCTTCAACTGGAAACACTGAAACAGATAATTTTTTTTTTAAAAATGTTTGCAAGACAGCTCCTGATGAACGTTAAGCTAAAGGAATCACAGTCACCTCTACACTTACCAACCCAATGCCATCTAGTGTTAACACAGCGTGGAGCTGGAGGAACACAGCAGGCCAGGCAACATTAGAGGAGCAAGAAAGTTGACATTTCAGGTCGGGACCCTTCTTCAGAATTCTCCAGCTCCACACTGTGTTATCTTTGACTCCAGCATCTGCAGTTCTTACTATCTCTGAGTGAGCCATCTAGTGTTAGGTGTGTTCTATACAATAGTGTGCTTCCCTGCTGTATAATTTCACGATTCTAAAAACACTACAAATGTTTGTCTTTAAATGTTTTAATTTTTAATATAAAGTAAGATAGAGCCAACTTAAATAACAAAATTATTTTATTCTCAATATGTGAACATAATGCACAAATGTTCTACAAATCTTTGCAATAGTAAAGCTGATTGGTTTATAAAATCGGGAACACATTTGTCGACTGGTTTAAAAATGTAATTTCATCTTTGCAACTGTGCCCTCCTCCAAATTGCTGAGCTAAATAAATGCACCTGTTATACAGTGTCCAGGTAATCCCTCGTCTGCACTGTCAATAAATGGCATATCCTCTGCCAAACTAATTTGCGACCCAGATCCAGCTGTCTATTATTGGAAAGTAACCAAACCTGTACATCTCTACAATGCTACTGCTGGGATAAGGATCACTGTTAGGAATACTTTGCTAGCTCAGATCCTACTGTTCTTTTGTTCTGCTATTCCCTGATTTCAATTGAGTGTCTTCCCTGTGTTGGTTAGGTCATGTCTCCCTTCCTGGGGTTGATGAAGCCTGAGGAGCCCTTCAAGGTCTGACATATATTGGACACTTATTATAACTACACAGGAATAAAAAAAGATGCATGGTACAAAGCAATATGGTAAATTGGAACATCATTGCATGGTTCTGATCTGCTAATTTATTTTATAGATGTTTGCTATATCATGTACCAATTACCTGCTGTTTTAACCAATTGCCACTTGTTTACAGCTCTTCTAATCAGCAGATCTGGTACAGCCATAAATCTTGAATGAAAATCAATTTAAATATTTTTAGCACTGATACACTGCAAATGCCTTGGTTGTATACAGGTTAAAAGCAACACGTGGGTTGATAATGCACAAGATAAGCTTGTGTTGCATAGACTGGGATTGCCCTTCTGTTGAATGAATCTCTACAAAAGTGAAATCTCCAGCTTGTTCTACACAATTGCAGAATCTCACAAATGTCTCTGTACCACTTCAAACATGAATTACAGACCTCCAGTCATTTTCTACAGCCAGTGGATTCAATACCATAGCGTTTTGTGTCTTAGGTTCCAACTGGCTTCTCATGTCAACAATAAGACCTGAAATAGTCTGTGCTACTCAAATGTTTTATATTATAAATGGTAGAAAATAATTCCCAGTTATTCCTACACATTGGGTACCTCTGATAACATTTTTTTCTGAAGGTTTTATTTGACTGGCAGACAAATACACTTATTGATTCTCTAACTGCTTAAATGTATCTTATTGGGTTGTCCATTCAGTGGAGCTGTCCTTTACATCAAGGGGTAAGTAATTACAAAATAATTGAGTTCTGTGTCAATTAGATCCCGGTACTTCATGTACAAGTTACGCAGCAGTTTATCTTCTTCATTTGTTTCATACTTGTGCATGTAGATTCTCACCTGTAGATCAAACAATGTCTCAATCATATCAATACTTAGAAAAAGTTTTATTACTGCCTGTTATCGGAAGCAAAACAGCCATAGTTCCACCAGACGAGAGGGCTGCTCTCTTATTAGTGATGACCGGTGGAGGTTTAACCTGAGGGTCACTATGCCTCAGGTGACGGGAGAGTTTGCGAAAGAGCCTCCCTCATGTAACCTTAGCCAGTGCAGGAATGGAACCCATGCTGGTGTTACTTTACATTACAAACCAGCCATTCAGCCCAACTAACCTCCAGGTCAGAGATAGTAGGAACTGCAGATGCTGGAGAATCTGAGATAACAAGGTGTAGAGCTGGATGAACATAGCAGGCCCAGCAGCATCAGAGGAGCAGGAAGAAGGGTCTAGGCCCGAAACGTCAGCCTTCCTGCCCCTCTGATGCTGCTTGGCCTGCTGTGTTCATCCAGCTCTACACCTTGTTATCTCTAACCTCCAGGTCATCCCACTTACAGCCAAGGCGAGTGTCTTTTGTTGGTCCTGAGTTTTATTAGAATCCTGTATAACATTGAACAACTACAGCTGAATAACTGAAAGTCAACAAGTTTATTTTTTTTACTCATTTCATGGGATGTGGGCGTCGCTGGCTGGCCAGCATTTCTTGCCCATCCCTAGTTTCCCTTTGGCATATGGGCATTTTAGAATTATCAGTCTGTGTTCATGGAAAGCATGTGTCTCTTTCATGAGCAGAATCAATTAGTCAAACTTAATGCGGGTCTTTATTTTAGAATCCCGACAGTGTGGAAATAGGCCCTTCGCCCCATCAAGTCCACACCGACCCTCAGATCATCCCACCCAGACCCATTCCCCTATAACCCACCCAATCTACGCATCCCTGAACACTATGGGCAGTTTAGCATGTCCAATCCACCTAGCCTGCACATCTTTGGACTATGGGAAGAAATCCACGCAGGCACGGGGAGAATGTGCAAATTCCACAAAGACAGTCGCCCGAGGCTGAAATCGAACTTGGGTCCCTGGCACTGTGAGGCAGCAGTGCTAACCACTGAGCCACCGTGCCGATGATACAAAGGTCCATCTCATTATATTCTAACGTGCATTGAGTTATGGAAGAGAAAAAATTGTCAGTACGCTTATGTTTTGCTTTGCTAATGTTATTGCTCGCGATTGTTTGCTTTCGTTTTTTTTAAATTTCTACCTTCTCTACACTGACTACAGCCTTAAGCATAGCAACTTAATCAGGCTTTGTAACACAGTGGTGGTGTCCCTCCCTCTAAGTCAGCAGGACTGGTTTCCTGAGGCGTATGTTAAAACATCTGAAGGGGTTGCTCTACCAACTAACTTCATGGTCGTAAACTAACATTTTCATTTGTAAATAGAAGGGCATCACAACTGAACATTAAAAATTGTCACTAATGCATGACAGTAAATATGCATACCAGATATAAAATAAGCTGCCACAGTTCACCAAGGCCTCTTCAACGGCACTGTTCAACATATCACCACCTAACAGGACAATATTGTGGGTTTACCTACACCATAAAGGCTGCAGCAGTTCAAGAAAGTGGCTCACCTTCAGTTAGGGATGGGCTACAAACACTAACGTTGACAGAGACACTCAGATCCCAAGAACAAATAAAAAGAACTGCACTTGATTCACTCTCACTCTCTAACTCTCGGCCACAACCCCCAAACCCTAAAATAAAACAAAGGACTGCAGATGCTGGAAATCTGTAAGAAAAACAGAGATTGCTGGAGAAATTCAGCAGGTCTGGCAGCATCTGCAGAGAGAGGAACAGAGTTAAACTTTTGGATCCGGTGACCCTTCTTCAGAACAGGTGAAGAAGCCGAAAAATTAACTCTTGTTTTTATCTCCAGAGATGCTGCCAGATCTGCTGGGCTTCTCCAGCAATTTCTGTTTGTGTTTCTCCAAATCCTATGTTTTCCACAAAGGATAAGGGTAAGAAACAGGGAAGCACAAATCCAGAGTTATCTTGCTAACCCACTGGAGCAGAGATTTATGTAGCAGCAGAATTTGCTCCTATTTTGATCGACATTAGCAGAGGCCAGGGATGAAATCTGGAAGATTCCTGGACACAGTCTACTAGAGGTTGACTGTCAAAAATTCATAAAGTAACTTTCATCTCAGAAGGTCACAATTATTTGCCAGGTTAAAGGAGCCTATGGAAGAAATATATGGCTATACCCACAACACAAAGTGATTAAACTTATCAACTTATGAATCAGGGGCAGCCATAAGCCATTCGGTCCCTCGAACCTGCTTCACCACCGAATAAGATCAGCATTGATTGGATTGTGGTCTCAACTCCATATTACTGCTACTGTCACTAACCTTTGACTCCCTTATTAATGAGGAATCTATGTATCTGTGGCTTAAAAGTGTTTAGTGGGCCCACTTGCATCACTATCAGGGAGATTTCCAAAATCGCTGCAAGAAAAATGTCTCTCTTACATGGGAGTCCCATTATCTTTAAACAACGTCCCCAGTCCTAGTCTGTCCCAGGGTAAACATCCTTTTAGCATCCACTCTGTTGAACCTCTCAGAATCTTGAATGTTTCAGGATGACCTCCTCTCAGTCCTGTAAATTCCAAAAGATCCAGGCCCAACTTATCTGACCTTTCCATCTAAGACAATCCCCTGCAACTCACGCATCAGTGAAGTGAATTTTAAAACCTTTAGTCTGGAGAGAATAATAACATAGGATGAGGGCATGCATATTCTCTTCACATGGTATAATGAAGCTTCCCAAACAATCCCCATCATGTAATAGTCTAATGCAACTCCAGGATGTCAACTTAACAATAGCATTTTACATTAATCGTTCACAAAAGTCTTCAGGATTGGTAATAATAAACAGAGACAGAAGGTTGATCAGCAGCTGGGGTATGTATTCACTTCAATAAAAGCCAAAATAACAACAGCTCTATATTAATGTTCTTGGACAAATTGTTCAGTAACCTCTTTGAAATGAGAAACACATTGCTGGACAACTGGAGGCCTGGTTGACCAGCAGTAAACCTAAGCAGTAAAAGGTTTCTATCAGTGACTAGGTCTTTGCTCATGTTTAAAAGGCCGATTTAATAGAGTCATAACGTTACACAGCACGGAAACAGACCCTTTGATCCATCTCATCCATGCCGACCAAGTTTCCCCAAACTAAACTAGCCCCACTCACCTATGTTTGACCCATATTCCTCCAAACCTTTCCTATTCATGTACCAGTCCAATTATCTTTTAAATATTGTAACTGTACCTGCATCCTCTGCCAGTTCATTCCACACATGAACCACCCTCTCTGTGTAAAAAGGTTGCCCCTCATGTCCTTTTCACATCTTCCTCCTCCTTTTAAATCTTTCTTCTCTCATCTTAAAAATATTCCCCCTGATTTTGAAACACCCCCCTCCACCCCCACCCTAGGGAAAAGACCTTTGTTATTCACCTTATCTATGCCCCTCATGATTTTATAAACCGCTATGAGGTCACCCCTCAACTTCCTACACTCCAGTGAAAAAAGTCCCAGCCTTACCAGTCTCTCGTTATAACTCAAACGCTCCAGTTCCAGCAACGTCTTGGTAAATATTTTCTGAACCCTCTCCAGTTTAATAATATCCTTCCTATAACAGGGCGACCAAAATTTAACAAAAATGGTTGCTCTACCTTAAGGGTGCGGAAGTTGGATTTTCCTTCCTGACGATACTGTAGCATTGTCTCAATAAACTTAATGCTGAGGAAAGCCCAGACCTTCATGTAGTGCAGCCGTTCACATATTAACACCAGTTGCAGTAATTCATCATCTATCCGTTCATGACTATTATTAAATTCTAATGTCAATTTCTGGCAAAAAAAATCAGAATCTCAGAATGAGGAATGTGTAGAAAAGACATAGCTAAAGTTAATATATGTTTAGGAGAATCAGTGTCTGTTGCACAAGACAAGAATAATATGTCAGCAAATTGAGCTCAAATTTCACAGCGCACTCTAAAAATTAACATTATCTATCCTTCATTTATCAGCTCCTCTGAAAGGCCTTATGTTTTTTTTACTTCAGCTTTCTGACATTTACAGGATTTTATTGTCTCTTTGTCTGCTTATTACAGGGTGAGAGGAATTTTTGATCCACAATTACAACATTTCAATTTCTGTACATGAACAAAAAAAATTGTGTACTGGACAGCAGCATTTCATCTGGAACATTCTGTCGATGAACCTCATTGTACACTATCCCTTCATTCTCAAAGGAGATGTATCAGTGAAGGTGAGGGTTCATCTAGTATAAAATGAGGTTGTTGGGGAAACACATCAAGATGTCAAAGGACCGAACAAAGACGGATTCCTAAGTTGGCATTAATCCATCTGATGATATGACTGTGCCTAGTGCGTTATTTCTGGATTCATAGAATCCCTACAGTGTGGAAACAGGCCCTTCGGCCCAACAAGTCCACATCGAACCTCAGAGCATCCCACCCAGACCCATCCCTCCTTAACCCACCTTATCTACACATCCCTGAACACTATGGGTAATTTAGCATGGCCAAACCACCTAACCTGCACATCTTTGGACTGTGGGAGGAAACCGGAGCACCCAGAGGAAACTCACGCAGACATGGGGAGAGATAGTAGGAACTGCAGATGCATGGACAATCCATTTTCTGAAACTTTCTGAAGAAGGGTCTAGGCCCGAAACATCAGCCTTCCTGCTCCTCTGATGCTGCTTGGCCTGCTGTGTTTATCCAGCTCTGCACCTTGTTATCTCAGACATGGGGAGCATGTGCAAACTCCACACAGACAGTTGCCCAAGGCTGGAATCGAACCTGGGTCCCTGGCGCTGTGAGGGAGCAGTGCTAACCACTGAGCCACCGTGCCACCCCTTGAGCATTATCGATTGGATTTGTAGAAGCTGCTCCATAAGTGACAGTCCCTTCGGCAGCTAACCCAATGAACCAGGTTGGCCTGAGTCCAACACATGACTTTTCTTTTGATGGGCTCTCTTTTCTGCCATCCAGCCATTTTCTTTGTTCTCTGCTTTTTGCTGCATCTTTCCTGTCTGCAGTAGGGGAGCAATTGTACAAGGTGCCGGCGAGACCACATCTGGAGTACTGAGAGCAGTTTCGGCCCCCTCATTTAAGGAAAGATATAATGTCATTGGCAGCAGTTCAAGAAGATTCACTAGGATGACCCCTGCCATGGAGGGTTTATTTTATGAGCAAAGACCAAACAGGTTGGGACTGTACTCACTAGACGGTGGAAGAATGAGAGGTGCTTCCATTGAACCAAGTAGGATTCCTAATGGGCTTGACAGGGTAAATGCTGAGAGGATGTTTCCCCTCGTGGGACAGTCTAGGACCAGAGGGCATAGTCTCAGAGTAAAGGGATGCCAATCGAAGACTGAGATGAGAAGGAATTTCTTCTCTCAGAGGGTTGAGAGTCTTTGGATCTCCTTGTCACAGAGAGCTGTGGGGGTGGTGCAGAGTCCTTGCGTATATTTAAGGCTGAGATGGATTCTTCGTTAGTAGGAGAATCAAGGATTATGGGGAAAGGGCAGGAAAGGGGACATCACGAATGTCATATCAGCCGTGATGCTATTGAATGGTGGAGCAGGCCTGAGGGGCTGAATGGCCTCCTCCAGTTCCTATTTCTTATGGTCTTGTCTCCAGGCCCTCCCCTCAACAGTAACAACTTCCCATGCATCAGTTCTAGTCCTGGTCAACTTTAGGTCTTGCTTACAGACGCCCTTGTATCACAGACATGGGCAACCTATTAGTCTTGTCCCCACAACTGCATGCACAGAGTACTGCATGTCTTTGAGGCAATGGCCAACAGCCATTCAACTTACACAACAAAACCAATGGAGTTACCACTGACGCAAAAGGACAAGCAGATTGCGAATCCCTGTACCCTGGTGCACAGTATAATGGTATTCACCTTTCATTCTGTTTTCATGATAGAAATTACACATCGACTGGCATACTTTTCAATCGTTTAGGAGTTGAAGGTGAGAAATATCTCTTTCTTGAATGGATTCAACACAGGTCTAACACATGGAAGATCGCTTTCCTGTAATGTAAAACTACACCAGCTCGTTGGTGTAGGCCTAAACTAAGACCACTGACATTCCGATCATTAGTTTGATAATGAGTGGTTTGTGTATGGAATGAACTGCCAGAGGAAGTGGTGGATACGGGTACATTTGCAAGTTAAAAGACATTTGGATAAGTACATGGATAGGAAAGGTTTGGAGGGATATGGGCCAAACACAGGCAGGTGGGTCTAGTTTAGTTTGGGAACATGGTTGGCATGGACTGGTTGGACCAAAGACTATGTTTCCATGTTGTGTGACTCTATTACACTATTAAGTTAATCATAGCAAGTCAAAACGAAGAAAATGAAACAATAAACTTAATTACACCTTTTCCCTCGTCAATAACTGTTTTTAATTTAATGTGAGGTCTGAATATAAAAAATGTGATGAACTGCTGCTAAATATAGATTCACATCAGTGGAAAGAACCTTGCCTTGTGTATTTTTGTTGCAAATTCATCTCGTTTTTTCCAAAGGGCATTGATTCTTGGCTGGGCCCCAGTAAGGTACCTTATTGAGTTGTTATTCTTCAAGTGGGAGTTATAAAGCAGTTTGACTGGAGAGGGCGTTTGCAGACAAGGATGTCTCAGTTGTCACACAATAGCTGCACACACCCCCTCTAGCCAGGAGGAGGTGCTCACTGCAGTTTAACCCAGAGCACGGATTCTGACTTATTCTCTCTAGTTTAGTGGCATGTCCACCAAGCTTCGAATGCAAATCTGTTCTGCATGGCACACTTATATTGATTGTACCAACACAAAACCTTACAAGCGTTGTACTGTATCACTGAGATGACCGTTTTGCCACAGAGGTTGTCAGGCACACAATTCTAAGTCTCAAGCAACTTATCCCAGACTCTTGGGGCTCTAGTGGTGCAGTGGTATTACCCCTAAATATAGACCTGGAGGCTCCAGTTCAAGTCCCACCAACTTCATTGGTGTGTAATAACATCTCTGAACACGTTTAGAAAATATCAATCTCAGTGTGACTGAATTGAGAGGTCTCACTGAAATGTTTGTTGTGTACGGAATTAGCTAACCCTGAAGAGTGTCTGACTTGAACAGTTTAAGTCTTGAACATGCACTTAGCTGGTCCTTAATCATACTTTTGAAATGTCCCTTACCTGTAGTGTATTCTTGTAATGTGGAATTAGATCAGTCAGGGTAGGTTTCATTGTCCAATCAGGGTCACTGAAGTAACAGCTCCTAAAATTTAAACTCCTCACTGGGATCTCTGGCACCAAAATCCGAGTCAGGCGATCATTCTTCATCACAAGCTCAAAGTAAAAGTTGACTTTCAGGTTAGTAGCCCGTTTAGCGAGTTTGGACCAGGAAAGCCCCCACACAACCTGGTTGTGAGGATCGTGGACGTGGCATTTAATGTTCATGGTCCTGAGGGTCTGGTAGCAACTTTCACACAGGGTGTCCAGAAGGTCATCCGAGATGCAGTTGTAGTTGATCGACAGGCTACTCAGGCTGCAGAAGCTGCGGATAATCTTAGGGAAAGTGGGGTTGGCGTAGATGGCCAGGTGGTGGCTGAAGAAGTCTTCGATGTTGAGCTCAGCGATGGAGCTCCTGTTCCTCTGGTGGATCAGCGAGTTTAAGATGGAAAAGCCTTGCTCCATGCCTAACCGTGCACCCCTCAAATTGAAGGATTGAAGGTGTCTGCATTCACGACGGAGGAAGAAGTTCAGACTCTTTAACAAAAGGGAAAAGAACGTATCGGGTCAACTTACATGCATATGTTCTACCTATATGACAGCATGACGCGTTTCAATTAAGTATAGACTGCAAATCTGGAGGTTCTCTTATTTCCAAATTCAGTGGGTGGTATTGGTTAGTACTCCTCAAAGAAAGATGAAGTGCTGGGTATTACTAAGAATTATAACTATTACATTTTCAATCTTACTTTTGAGATTTGGGACAGGGAGTGGCATCATTTTATTTGCATTGCCAAAACCATTCTGTAAGTGACATAGACAAGCACACTGAAGACAGAAGTTATTTATGGACATTGATTGTGAGATATTCCATAGTCCTACACATTATGCATGTGATCTAGGGAAGGGGCCAGCTTGATGACTGGCATTTTCTAACTCCATGCTTTGAGTTAGAGTCATAGAATCCCTACAATGTGGAAGTAGGCCCTTTGGCCCATCGCGTCTACACTGACCCTCCAAAGGGCATCCCACCCAATCCCTGTAACCCTCCATTTCCCATGGCCAATCCACCCAACCTGCACATCTTTGAACTGTGGGAGGAAACTGAAGCACCAGAGGAAACCCACACAAATGCGAGGAGATGTGCAAACTCCACACAGACAGTCACCTGAGGTGGAATCAAACCCAGGTCCCTGGCGCTGTGAGGCAGCAGTGCTAACCAATGAGCCACTGAGTAACCCGAGTTCTTATTAAAGGCTTTGATTGCTGGCCAAACACCTTCAGGTTACTTTTTGAAACATAAACAGAACTTGCTGGAGAAACTCAGCAGGTTTGGCAGCATCAGCGGACAGAAAGCAGAGTTAATGTTTTGAGTCCAGTGATTCTTCTTCAGAACATTCTGAACAAGTGGCACAGGACTTGAAACATTAACTCTGCTTAAAATATTCAGAGATTCAGAACTTGGTTTCAAGAAATATCTTGAAGGAAGAGAAGGGCAGAGGGACCAGAGAAAATATGACCCATTATTTACTTTTAGAAAAGGCTGTGAAAGGTCCAAAAGCCACCTCCAGGTGGCCCAAGGAGCACATGCACGCATGCACGCACACAAACCCATACATACACACACACAAACGCATACACACATCCACACACAAACACAAACCCACACACACACCCACAAACACAAACACCCACAAACACACATCCACACACACAGAGGAAGTTGGCATCATTCAGAAATGTTAGAAAGCAGCAGCAAATCTTCAAGGGAATGAACTGCACTCAGATCCTCTTGTATATCACACACGTAATACAATATCACTTCATCTCCATTAATTACGACCTCTACCGTCTGTACATCAGCCCAGTCATTGAAACATATGGGATTCTTAAAGGGCTTGACACGGTAAATACTGTCAGGATATTTTCCCTCATGGAAAAGTCTAGGACCAGACAGCATAGTCTCGGAATAAAGGAGCACCAATTTAAGTCTGAGATGAGGAGGAATTGCTTCTTTCAGAGTTGCAAGTCATTAGAACTCTTTGCCACTGGTGTTCTGAGGAAGGGTCACCAGACGCAAAGTGTTAACTGATTTTTCTTCACAGATACCGGCGGACCTGCTGAGCTTTTCCAGAAACTTCTGTTTTTATGACTTTGAGTCCAGTATGACTATTCCTCAGAACTGAAAAGTGTTGGAAAAGTAGGGTTTATACTTTTGACAGAGTCAGAGGAGGATCAAGGTGGCAGATGACGTAGAGATCCAAATTGGTTGCTTAGAGTAGGGAAAGAAGAAAATAAGATGAAAATGGGTATAAAATACCCTTTGGACATTGCTTGAATCTCAGAGATCACTCACAAAAAGAAAAATACTTGCTTTTAGACTATACAGCACCTTCCATAGTCAGACATTTCAAAGTATCTTAAAGCCAATAAAGTACTTTTTGCAGTGAAGCCACCAATACAATATAAGAAATGGGGGCAGCCACAATGCACAGAGAACACCCAGAAATAGCCATGTGATAAATGAGCAGGTAATTTGTTTTGAATAATAGTGATTGAGGAATATGTATTGGACACCTGGGTGAGTTTCCCAGCTCTTCTTTCACTGTCAGCAGTGCACTGCAGTATCAACTTTGATTCCTGTGCTGAGGTTCTCGAACCCTGAACTTTCTAACTCAGCAGCAAACCAGTTGAAAGTGACTACCTGGCCACTCTGCCCATTACCATGGTGCTACCTTTGGGCGAGCTCCAGCATGGAGATTACTTGGAGGGGAGCCCACTGTTCCAGAAACCCAGCGGAAAGGGACTGATGAAGGAAACTGTAAATCGCTTACTTGTTTAACTCCCTCTGGCGGGACAAGGAGATGTTAAAGACAAAAAAAAAACTGCAGATGCTGGAATCCAAGATAGGCAAACAGGTGGCTGAAAGAACACAGCAAGCCCGGCAGCAAATGGAGGAAAGGAGAAATTAATGTTTCGGATATTACCCTTCTTCAGGACTGCTGTAAGACTCAATCACTCAGTGTATACAGCCTTAAAAAGAATGTGCAATTGTGTTCCCTTGGCAGGAGATTACATTAAAACAAAACTGAACGTTGCGAATGAAATAAAAGAAAAAAGTTTTGTTTTCTTGTAAGACCCTACCTTTAGGAAGGCATTCCTAACAGAGGAACTCCACACGAGGCGGTCCAATTCCAAATGTTGGATGGTGAACGATTTTAATCTGTTGTTTTCATTTCCTAAACGCGCCAGGAAGCTCCTCATTGTTATTTGGAATCTCCTTGTCAGGAGGGAGTTGTACGGATTCATGAACTTAATCTCGCAGTTTACCAGGTATCTGCCAAACTTCTTGGCGTACCAGATGGCCGATTCGTACTCAGCCCGACGGTATTTAGATGGCCTCCCGCAGAAAGTGAACGTCCTGGATCTCCACAAAGCAGGCGAGTGCATCACATGGTTCCAGCATTTGCACACCAGGGCTGCCCGGACCCTGTCTTGGTCTCCAAGCCATCGGAACACCTGCCTCAGGGATACCTCCGGCAATTCACTCCAATTTCCTGCATCTGTAGACTGGTCCTGAGATATCTCCATCCCGGCAAGCGGTGCTGTTGATATGGATTAAAAACAAAAGTGTTCGTTAGGTCAGAACCCAACTGAGCTGTAAATCAAGCAGCATCATAGGAGCAGAGAGGCTGACGTTTCATCAGAAGGGTCTAGGCCCGAAACGTCAGCCTCTCTGCTCCTATGATGCTGCTTGGCCTGCTGTGTTCATCCAGCTCTACACCTTGTTGTCTCGGATTCTCCAGCATCTGCAGTTCCTACTATCTCTGAGCTGTAAATCACACTGATTTGGGCCAGCTTCCTTTTGTAATACTCCCCCAAAAGTCTTGTTATTAATCAGTAATTGGAGTGCCAATGTGCTGGTAATACTGAGTAAGATTTAAAGCAGAGATCGGCAATATGTTTGCAAGGTTTTTCAATTGCCCACACAGACTTTAAAAATTACTCACAGTTTAAGGATATAGAGTAGACAGTTCAGGACTCAGATGAGGGGAATTGTCTTCACCTAAAAAAATAGTGAGCCTTAGAATTCTCTGATACAGAAAGCGGTTAAGACCAAAACATTGATTGATTTCAAGAGGAGTTCCAAACAGTTCTTAGTGCTAAAGCGATCAAACGGTACGGGGAAAAAGCAGGAACAGGGGACTGAGTTGAATGATCAGCCATGATCATACAGAATGGCAGAGCAGGCTCGAAGGGTCTAATAGCCTAGTCCTGTTCCTATTTCAGTGTTTCAACGTTGCTACTCCTAGATTGCATGCCAGTATCCCAATGCCTCTGCAATTCGTTGTCCTTTTCAGTGTGTTGGGGCATGGGGGAGGAGGAGGATGCAAGCTAAAGGGGAAGGTCAGGAACCTACTTGTCTCCAATTAATGGCCAGGGGTGGTCTCTCTGAGAAGCTTGTTAACAGGCCAGTCGGGGCAAAAAAAGTGATTTTCAGTCTGAACCGCCACTACCTGGTGCCCAGGATACATGGCTACCAGGAAAAAACGGGGCAGAAACTGATTTTTTTTTAGCATGTAAAGTTTTGGGAACGAGAGGATGTTGCTTTGAATTGGATACAGTGCCATTTGTACATGGTGCGGCTGCTGGCCCTCTGACTAATAGGTGTCTCCCTCATCCCTTCTGCAAACATTGGCAAACACAACATTTAAAAGGCATCCGGATGAGTATATGAATAGGAAGCATTTAGAGGGATATCGGACTATGTTTATTGGGGTATCTGGTCAGCATGAACAAGATGGACTGAACGGTCTGTTTCCATGCCTTACATTTCTATGCCTCTATGACATCTGGGATGGCATGGTGCCTCAGTGGTTAGCACTGATGCCTCACCGCACCAGGGACCCAGGTTTGATCTCAGCCTTGAGTGGCTGCCTGTATGGCATTTGCAAATTCTCCCCGTGTCTGTATAGTTTCCCTCCGGGTGCTCTGGTTTCCTCCCACAGTCCAAAGATGTGCAGGTTAGGTAGAGCAGCCATGGGAAATGTGGAGTTACAGGGATAGGATTGGGGGGTTGGTCTGGATGGGATGCTGGTCAGAGGGTCATTGTGGACTCAGTAGACTGAATTGTCTGTTCCCACACTGTCGGGATTCTATGACTGTATGGCTTTCCTCTGCATCCATCTAGATGGTCAGAAGTCACACAATACTAGGTTATAATCCAATAGGTTTATCTGAAATCGCAAGCTTTCAAAGCATTGCTCTTTCATCAGTGACTTTGTTTGATGAAGGAGCAGTGCTGCAATAGCTTGTGATTTCAAATAAACCTGTTGGTCTAGGCCCGAAACGTCAGCCTTCCTGCTCCTCTGATGCTGCTTGGCCTGCTGTGTTCATCCAGCTTTACACTGTGTTATCTCCGATTCTCCAGCATCGGCAGTTCCCACTATCTCTGTAACCTGGTGTTGTGTGACTTCTGACTTTGTCCACCCCAGTCCAACACCGGCACCTCCACGTCCATCTGGAAGGACAAGGGTGGTAGGTTGATGAAAACACCACCACCTGCATGGTGTTCTAAGTTATCCCTGTCCTGGAAATCTATGGTCGGCCTTTTATTGTTTCTGAGTTAAAATCCTGGAGTTTCCTTCCTAACAGCATTGAGTGTGTGCTCATCACCCCTGTCACCATATACCCTACTCCCGGACTCGAGCTGTACAGGAAGGCAGCTCAATTCCCTTCTCAAAAGCATCTAGGATGCTCAATAAATGCTGGCCTAACCAGCAACACTCACATCCCGAAGAAGGGTCTAGGCCCGAAACTTCAGCCTTCCTGCTCCTCTGATGTTGCTTGGCCTGCTGTGTTCATCCAGCTCTACACCTTGTTATCTCTTATGACAAAAATATTCTCTTGATAACAAAAATCTGTCAAATGCAAAGTTATCTATCTCAATCTTGAAAGCTTTAATTGTCTCATCATCCATACACTTTGTACAAACCAAAAATGTTGTTTATTGATTTCCCTCTTGAATGGCTTCACTCTAAATTCAAGATCTCACTATTTAACAACACTCTTGCATCATTCTGCAGAACCAACCTTACACCCCTCTAAGGCCCCTCAATCTTTTCTGCACTTAAAATATTGTCCTTACTCCTAAAGCACAACACAACCAAACAAAAATCACTTCCTCGTTTTCCATTCCAGACCCGTTGGCACAAGCTCTAACAACAGTTGGCTGCATGATTGCTTTTCACAGCAGTTTCCTCTGCTTATAACTAGCAAGCCAAATCACTTCATTCTCTTCAGTTTCCTAATGCTTCTCTACTTAGAAAATGTAGTTATTTGCGTCCAATGAGCATAACTTCACACTTTCCATCATCAAACTATCAAGGTTTCACATGGTCTTGTTGACCTGTCTACGTGCTGCTATCAGCTTAATTATGAGCCTCCCTTCCTGTCCTACAGATGCTTTCAGGATCGGAATTTGTTACTAATAACCATACTTGTATTCCAGATTTTAGTTCTCCAGTCCTTTAGGAAATTTATATCAACCTCTGATCTTTGCCTTCTATTTCTTTCCTCTATGTCAAAATGTCCATTTTTAATGTTATATTGCATTTAATTGTAAAGTATGTAAGTAAATTACTTGTTAAATCCAATTAATCTATGGAATTGCGGAATAGTTACAAACACAGGAGGTCATTCAGCCTATCCAGTCTGTGCTGGTTCTCTGAATGAGCAATTCACCTGAAGCCACACTGTCCCCTATATCTCCCTCTCTTTTCAGATAATAATCTGATTCCATCTTGAGGGCCTCAATACCATACTCTAAGACAACGCATTCCCAACCACTTGCTGCATGGGAAACGTTCTCCTCATGTCTAAAGTTTAGAGGGTTTTGGACCAAAGACAAGCAAGTGGGACTAGTATAGTTTGGGAAACTTGGATGAGTTGACCAAAACATCTGTTTCTATGATAGTTGACTCTCTGAATCTATAAATACCTTTTTTGAAATTACCATAAATCTCAGCTTTCTCATTCTCAAACATTTCACCAATGGGGACAGCTTCTAGTCCACTCTCTCCAGACCCCTCGTGGTTTGGAACGAGTCTATTCAATTCACTCAACCTTCTCTTCCACAACAAAAAGGGTCACAGAGTCTCCAACCTTTCCACCTGAAGCTCCTCATTCCTGGAAGCATTTTGTGAATCTTTTCTGTGCTGTTTCCAATGCCCTTCGCAACTTTCCTAAAGTGTGACATGCAGAACAAAACACACTGCTCCAGCTGGAGTGGCACAGTGACTCAGTGGTTGGCATTGCTGCCTCACAGTACCTAGGACCTGGGTTCAGTTCCAGCCTTGGGCAACTGTCTGCGTGGTGTTTGCATGTTCTCCCTGTGTCTGCATGGGTTTCTTCCGGGTGCTCCGGTTTCTTCTCACAGTCCAAAGATGTGCAGGTTAGGTGGATTGGCCGTGCTAAATTGCCTATAGTGTCCAGGAATGTGCAGGCTAGGTGGGTTAGTCATGAGAAATGTAGGGTAATGGGGCTAGAGTAGGTGGATGGGTCTGAGTGGGATGTGCTTCAGAGGGTTGGTGTGGACTTGATGGGCTGGATGGCCTGCTTCCACACTGTATGTTTTAGAGGCTCTCCCACACAGCCTCCTCACT